GTGGGAAAGAAAGAAGTAGAGCAAAGAAACGGAGAGACATGTATGGTGAGACAGAGTCCAGAAGTCCAGCCAACACCATCTTGCTGTCCTCGCACTGGAAAGTAGATTCAAATTATATGTCTTGTACCATCGAGAGTGTGTATGTGTGTGTATGTGTGTGTGTGTGTGTGTGTGTGTGTGTGTGTGTGTGCGCGCGCGTGCACGCGCGCACCTCATAGCACACAGAGGGTTGGCTGCAGCTCCAGGTTGCAGGGGCTGCTGAGCAATGTCACTGTGCTTTGGAGGGAGGCAGGAGGGAGGGAGGAGGCTTGGAGAGTGTCAGTGTGTCTCAGCCTGTGTGGGGGCGCCTGTGTGGGGGTGGAGGGCTGCAGCATGCACCAGAACATGTGCCTGCTTGCTGCTCTGATGATGCGGAGAAGCCAGGAAAAGCTGTCCCTTCCCCTGTCCTTGCACCTCTCCCTGCCATCCGGGTTCTGTCTGTCTCCCCATTTCCCATTCTTTGGTCTTTGGTCCATGCATACCACTGCCTATCCCTGGAGCCTGGAGAGCTCACTATGCTCTATGAGGTGTCTCTGTCTATGCAGTACGTGGACAGTCGCCACAGCCCGTCCAGTGCTGGAGCACAAGATCTACAGCTTTTCTCATAGTCTTCTAAGGAGGGAGGCCACAGAGGGCAGCACTTATCTCCAGAGATGGGACCCCCATTTTACTGACAGTGAAGCTGAGGCTCAGAAAGAGCAAGTGGTTCATCCAAGGTAGCCCAGGAGACTCAAAGCAGAATTTTGGCAGAAAATGAACATCTGTTCAGTTATCCATCCTCACTGCCCCCTGCCACCACTACAGAGACCACTGCCCCTTTCCTCTGCTTCACAAACAAGAGGAAAGCTGCTTCCCAAATGCAGCACTAGATGGGGCCTTGCTCAGACATCTCCCAGGGACCAGGTCACAGTCCCTTGAGCTTTCCTGACCCCTCCTTTAGCCCCAGTTTATTCATCTGTAAAATGGTGGAGTAAGGCCTGCCCACCTCCCCTTAGGGGTGGAGCTAGTGGATGCCCACCTCCCCTTAGGGGCGGAGCTAATGGATGGAAAGATACTTTCCCAGATGCCCAGTGCTGCTGGTTGGAGGGTTTAGGTGCAAACAGTCCTGACCAGGTGGGGCCCTGGTGCTTTAGCATACTCTCTCGATGATACTGTCCTTTCTCCTTCCAGCTCCTCACAGAAGGGCAAAATGGCCAAACACGTGCTACAGAGCATGAGGTCTTGAACATCCAGCACCTTGAAGCCCAGTGCAAAGAGCTTCCTCTAAGCCAGGCCACCACCCACAGATCAACCTACCCAATTGTGGTATGGGCCAAAGGCTATGGAGGAAGTGGTTCAGGTTCAGGGGCCATCCCCCAAGTCCCTGTCAACCTTGCGGCCACCCACATTCCCACCAGCCTCCCCTACCCTGTACTGCCTGAGTCAACTTCAGATCCCAGTTTCTAGAGAGAAAAGAGTGGGCTGAGCTCTCTCCTCCCTTCTCTCTCTCTCTCTCTTAAATGCAATCTCCTTCTGAGGTTCATTTTGTCCAGAGCAACAATTGTAGGTCCTCAGAGCAAGCCTCTGCCTCTCTAACCTCTGCAGATGGAGGCCTGGGGATGCAATGTCTAGAGAAAACATTCTACCCAGGGGTTTGCCTGAGCTTTCCAGAGCTTCCCTTGCCCCTCTCCACCTGCTCTCCTCCCTTTCTATTGATTCTGGACATCAGAGGAGACTGAATGAGCAGTAGGGAACTCTGAGGGTTACCCTGGCCCACCCTGGCCCTGCCAGACACTGCAGTCCATATAAGCATATGCTTCTATTTCTTTCATTCCAAGGAGGGTAGAGGAGTAGGGTCAAGGGAGGAGGGAGGGAGTGCATCTCTAGGTCCCTAGAAACAGCCCCATCTTAATCCTATATGGGATGCAGAATCAACTTCTTAGCTTTTCTGAATTTATGTGCTTCAGTGCTTGGGTATTGGGGTGGGTGGCATATCTTCAGTACAGAAACATCTACAAGTTCCAGAAACCCCTATTCAGGGCTACCTTGAGGCAGGAGAGGAATCTCTGCTTCCACCCAAGGCTCCTAGAAGGCCGCTGGTAACAAGCCAGTCTTCACTGGGCAAGTTGCCAGTGAGTCTTGATGGAGTACCAGCCTTCTTCTATGTTGTGGCAAATCAGGGCCTTGCCAGAGGTCAACCACAGTCCCTCAAGTGTCTTTTTTTAAAGCCCAGCCCAGCTAGGTAACCTGCTGGTTATGTGGACAGTTCTGGGTGGGGGCTCAGTGTCTAGGTAGTCACACAGTGTCCTAGCCAGAAGACATAGGCTCATCAACTAAAGGGTAATCTCTACAGAAACACTTCTTCATTGATTCCCTCATGGAAGAGGAGCCCAGGGAGACCTTGAATAACATTCCCTAAATAAAAGATAAATGTTGAGAAGGCCCTGCCATTTCCTTTAGGCCTGCCCAATCATTGAGGACAACAGCCACTCCAGCACCAATGTCCTACCAGATGCCTACTTCGTGCTAAGCTTGAGGTTATGTCTTCACATGACATCTACATAATCCTCACAGTCTTCTAAGTCTCCAGAAAAGAGTGGCAGCCTGCCCAATGTCACAGAGCTAAGGGTCATTTGGGGCAGCCCCTCCCTGCCCCACCAAATGCTCAGACCAAGGCTAAGATGCAGAGCAAACACCACAGGACTCATCCTTCACAGGGTACCCTGGCCTGTGTCACACAGACTCCCCAGACAGAAGCCAGCCCACCACAGCCTTTTCTCCTTCACACAAGCATCTTCAAGCACAGGTTCGTGCACCGGTTCCTGAGGTCTCACAAGCTCTGACACCACAAGCAACATTTTGTAGGTTTATACATTTTTCTAGGGAATGTCTATTTAGACTTTCATCCAAATCCTAGAGGAATAAGTGACCTAGAAAAGGTTAAAAGCACCAGTAGTTCTGGAAGGAGGAGGTCTGGAATTGATTGGCTAAGACCTGGGTGTCCCTGCCACCCTCGGTTTTCCTCTGCCCCTTCTCTAACACCTCTGAGTATCTAGGAAGGCAGAGGGGATGAGAAGGCCAAGTCAGCCCACAGAGCCCAGTCCTAATGATCCCCATTTCTTCTCAGGGCAAAAAGAGCAGTTTGCTGTCACTGTGATCCCTGAAATCCCATCTTAACCCCTTCCACTGTGCTCTGTGACGCAGTCCTGCCTGAACCAGCCTCAGTGGCCTCTGAGTGGCAGCTCCTGTCTATTCCAAGTGGATACTAGACATGCTCTGGAAAGGGGTCCCAGATAAACTTTAAGAGACAGTCCTCCTGAGAAGCCCTAAAAATTGTATTCCTGCCCCCACCCCTGCCTCCAAAGCAAAGACACACAGAACAGTAGGAAGTCTGTAGACAAATATGAACACACATTTGCACAAGGGAACTGGGATATGTGCAGGTCTCTGTCTTTCTGTCTCTCTCAGTCTCTGCCTCTCTCTCTCTCTCTCTCTCTCTCTCTCTCTCTCTCTCTCTCTCTC